TTCTTTAATCTTCATATCCTTCTGATGGATAGATAACTGCAACCTTAGTAACAGGTCTCTTGTAGCTTCCTGTAGTCGTTCTCACTTGGACGCTTCTCACCTTGCCATCTCGTCCTGGGTAGACTGTAAGGACTCTTCCAATTTGCCACTTTCCTCTGACAGCATTAGCGTCTGCCAGCATTACTATGTCGTTCACTGTCAGATTTCTCTTCTCTGATTTCCACTTCATTCTGGGAATGAGTAAGGAAAAGTAATCTCTGCTCCATCTGTTCCAAAATGAAGCAATGATTTTCTGGATAAACTCTACTCGTCTTCTTGGATTCTTAGTYTCCTTGAACGGGCCTTGCGGGATGTGGCTCGATGCTCGTCCTAGCAGTATGTCATTAGGACATAARTATGAACCATCGTTTGGATCGCTCGGGATTCTGCCGATCGGCCTTTGATTGACAAGATTTGCTACTTCTTGTAACACGGTATGGAACTCCATTGGGTGGAGGACTTGTTCGCCKACTGCTTTCTTCAGTGCGAGCTTGCAACTCTTTACTAGTGCTTCAGTACATCCATTGTGGTGGGGAGCTCCAGGTGTAATAAATCTCCACTCAATACCTCTTTCAGCAGCAAATTCTTTAAGGGCCTCTGCGTCCCATCCCTGCACCATCTCCTTCAGTTCTCTCTCTGCGCCGACAAACTGCGTACCATTGTCACTTAGCATAAATGCGGGGTGACCTCTGAGTGAAAGAAATCTTCTTAATACTTGAATGAACTCCATAGCTGAGCATTCAGTWGCTAGTTCCAGRTGAACAGCTCTTGTATTTAGGCATGTAAATATGACACCATAGTGCTTYTTGGTTTTGTTCCTTCCAAAACGGACATTGTAGGGTCCAAAGTAGTCGACTGACGTGTTGTMAAATGGCGGTGTGTGTGGTGATAATCGTTGAGTTGGTAGTTCACCCATYAACTGAGCCTCCGGTTGGTGCTGAATCTTTCTACATGTGACACATCTAAATCGGATGGTCTTTGCTAGGCGGTGYGCTTGAAGAACCCAGTAMTTATGTCTCACTTTTGCTACAGTTGCTGCGACGCCAACGTGTCCCATCATGTGCATATGTCGTGTAATAAGATGAGATATCCTATGCTTGGCAGGTAGAWGAATCGGGTGTCTGGTATCGTACGAAATTTGTTGGGCATTGTCAACTCTTCCTCCTACTCGAATTAGACCATCAGACTCGTCTACATATGGGCATAATGATTGGAATTCTCCTTTGCGCATCCTTCCGTGAAGTTYCTTTTGTGCTCTTTTCAGTAGATGAACTTCTGCGTCATGCATCATTGCTGGGGTGAGGGTACTGCAATCTATTTCCCTCCGACGGCGAGCTTTGAGTGCTGAGATAAACTTGAGGACATAGGCTGTTACGCGTWCTAATTTTCTCCAGGATGAGAATCTCTCGTAATCGATCAGGTCTTGTTGACTGGTGGTGTTAACATTGCAAACTTGCACTTTGCGCATTTYCTTGGTTACTTCGCTTTCGACTTGCTGTGTGGTTGTTTCTGAYTTTGGCCATTGATCTTCTGGTTGACGCAGGAAATCTGGTCCATGCTGYCATCTGCCTGTTAGCTCTTGGACAGCAATACCTCGTGAAACTTCATCAGCTACATTGAGATCGCCGGGTAGATGTCTCCACTGCGAGGGATCTGAGTTGGACTGGATTTCTGCGATGCGGATTGACACAAAGGGTTTAAAACCTCGTGCCTGGCTGCGAATCCACGCTATGACTATCATGCTGTCTGTGAAGAACACAACCTTTTCAAACTGCATACGGGATTCTTGCGTGATGGCTTTACATAATCTACTGGCCAGAACAGCAGCCTGTAGCTCCAGTCTCGGTATGGTCAGCGGTTTCAGAGGTGCAACTCTTGACTTTGCTGCTACAAATCGTGATTCGAACTCAGTGTCACTGACTTGCCATCGTACATAAGCACATGCTCCAAACGCGTTTTCTGAAGCGTCCGAGAATATGCAGAGTATCGGGTCCCCATAGGCACCTTTTGGAGTCAAACTTCTGGGGAAGGCTACTTTGTTCAGCTCTTCCATCTCTGTAAATAGCTGGAGCCATTCTTGCTTAGTGTCGTCGGGAAGCTCGTCATCCCATTCCAATCCCTTTTGCCACAGTCTTTGCATTCCRATCTTTGYACGAACTAAGAAAGCGGACGCCAAACCAATTGGGTCAAAGATTTTAGCTACTTGACTGAGTATGCTGCGCTTCGTCATTTTTTCAGCGATTTTCGGGTCTGTGTTTGATTTAAATGACAACAGGTCTTCCGTACTGTTCCAGTAAGAGCCAAGTACTTTCTCGTCAGTGCTCCCGTGTAAAGGCTTTGTTTGTTGTTCCTGRGGACCTTGTGTGTTGTTAAGCTCGTTTGACAACCATCCTTTGACTTTGAAGCCACCATTCTCGAGTACTTTGTCTATGTCTGTCATGATCTTTTCAGCTTCCTCAGTAGTGTGTACAGACTCGCAGATATCATCCATGTATGTGTTCTGTTTAAGGACCTGGGCAGCCTCGGGATATTTCTCCTTGCCTTCGTCTGCTGTCTTTTGTAGTGCTATCTGRGCCATCGCAGGTGYGGGTTTGTCGCCAAACGTGAGTACTGTCTTAACGTATGTATCGGGCTCTCGAGTCGTGTCCAGGTTTCTCCATAGGAAGCGGTGGACGTGTTGGTCTTCCTCTGTAATCAATACTCTGTGATACATCTTAGAAATGTCACCGGTGAATGCTACTTCATTCTCTCTGAAACGCAGTAGGACTCCGAACAGGTTGTTCAGCAGGTYTGGTCCTTTCATCCAGAAGTCGTTTAGGCGATGACCTTGGTAGATTGACGACGAGTTGAATACTATGCGTACGGGAGTGCTTTTCTTCTCTGGTCTGATTATTGCATGGTGTGATAGGTAATGAACTGGTCCTTTGTACTCTTGTATTTCTTTGTCTGTGAGTTTTCTTGCAAAGTTCATTTCCTCCATTTCCTTCATTTGACCGTCGTAYGCCTTTGCATGTTCTGAATTTCTCAAAAGTCTCTGCTCGGTGGTCTGTAGCCTCTTTAACGCTTGCACTTTGTTGTCCGGTAACAGTTTAGGGTCTCGTTTCCATGGATACGGAATGAGCCATTGATTTCCCACCTTTTGACAGGAATTCTCAATGCATCTGGCTTCTTGTTGCTCAATTTGGCTTAGCTTACTTGATTCACAGTCGCAAGACTTTACACTAACGCCCATTGTTTCTGTGGTCCAAAAGTCTGATAAGTCTATTGGCGAATTCAACTTGTAATGTAGCACAGTGTTGATGTGTGACTTTGCGTTAGGTTTTGCACYAAACACTACCCACCCAAGTGGCGAATATCTTGCAACCAGRTTTCCATTTTGCTTTGTTACACCTGTGTGTAACTGTGCTTGGTCAATACCGATGAGCAAAKCTATTGGGCCACTTTCTCTTCTTAAGGCGTTAACACTTATATCCAGGCGTCTTGCTATGTCATTGAGTCTCAATTCTGTGATGTCAGTGCTTATGGAAGGCATACCAAGTGCATGTACTGTATGCGTTGTGTTGTTTTCTATAGAACGAATGTTCACTTTGTACATCTTTGTCTTTAACTCTTCTTYATCACATCCGACTTTTGTTATCGTGACATCAGCTTCCTTTCCTTTTAACTTAAGTTCTTTAGCCAGGTCTAATCGAATCAGACTTATTTGCRMACCAGAGTCAAGAAGAACATTTCCTCGTAGTACGTTATTCTCCGGGCCAAGAATATCTGCCTGCACAACAGGTAGCATCGCTTCGGTTTTCATAGAAAGGGAACTAACCATTGGTTTAACTGCTGAGTTAGAATCAACGTGGATCAAGTTGTGGTGGTACTGATTACAGTCGTTGGTGGTACAGAGACGTTTGCGTGTGCAAGTCGCCGCTCTGTGACTTCTTCCGCCTTTCTTTAGACAGCTGAAACAAGCATGGTTTTCTTTTACTAAGTCGAACCTTTCCTTAGAGTCCATTCCTAGGAACTTTGTGCACTTGTCTAACCAATGATCGGAGCTCTTGCAAATCCAGCATTTGTGGAATGGCTTACTTGTCTCGCTGACGACCGATACAGCACTAACTGCGGGTTTCGGTGTTGTTGCGGCCGTTCTCACCGGCGSGGCGGCTCTCATTCGGCTTTTCATTTCTGCGGTCATCCAATCAATCATGGCTGATAACGTCGCGGGACTTTGTTTACTTTCCAGGTGGCGTGACCAAACCTTCCTGTCATCACTGCTTAGCTTTTGTTCGATTACTGCTAACATATGGTTATTGTCCATATCATGAGGCCGTCCGACCTCCTTCAGCGTGTTAAAACTTCTTCTAATGAGATGTACAAGGTCGCAAAACCTTGCGTCTTCATCACTTCTTAGTGGTTTAAATTTGTTCAAATCATGGCTCACCGTGTCTGCAACGAAACGCGGGTCGCCATAGATTGAGTCCAGATACTCCCACGCGGCATCGTAATCCGATCCGATCCCCTTGATTAGCTCTAGTGGCTTTCCTTGCAGCGATGAGCGTAGCAAAGTTATCGAGTCTCTTTTACTAAACGAGGATCCAATAATGTGCWTAAAGTCCGATCTAAATATAGCATATTCTCTAACATCTCCGGTAAATTTCGGCATCTTTGGTTTTTCAACTTTAAATCCGCAAACATTCTTGTCATTCTTCACATTCTTTACATCTGATACATTTCCGGCAGCAGCATTTAACATCACATCATCAACAACATTATTATCATCATTATTTTCTTCATTTTGCTCTCCGGGTATATCTTCAGGCAATTCATTATCATTATTCGGGTTATCGTTAGGTACATCGTTAATCTGCTCATTTTCCGTGTTATTTTCCGTAGCGCCTTTGAGGTAATCTCGGGCGTCAAAGTCTAGTTTCATAAACTGWTCTTGACATTGGTCAAGCCATCGTTCTTGTTCTTCAAATTCATCATCGTCTTCAATACATTGCGTATATTCCTCATGCTTCATGACCAAATCGTCATAAGCGCRTCTACATCGTTCTAGGCAATCTCTTACCTCCGTTTCACTTCKTTGYGCCTCAATTACTTGTGTAAGAGCTTTCCCTTGCCTCGTGAGAGCTGACTTCGCGTTTCTCCTCCTTATCTTAAGTTGTTTTGCTTCGYCTTCAGTTACCATCGTGTTTTTCCATGTAAAATTCCTCGGACACCATGAGTTGGACCACAATATCGAATGAATGTGTCCTCGATCAAATCACACCAGACAAACAGTAGTCTTCATGGGCTTCACATATCGCATTTATTACTATATATAATTCGATCTACAAATACAAATGATTATGCTTACTTGTTATCCTTAACGCTTATAAATGAATATCAGTTAAAGTACTTACATTATTTGAGATTCCATAAAACAAAACTACTGTTCACTACATCTTGAAGCGCGTTACACGTGTGATTAACTAACTACATGTGACTATTGAAATTTGATATCTAGAATGCTTACGTAATCAATTTGTCAATCATTTTTAACTTCTGTACAAACAAAACTTAATTATTACAATAATGTCCACAAAACAGATAAGGTGCCTCACCATTAATGATTCGATTTTATTAGTGTTTTTTTTTCTAAAAATAAATGAATATACCAGGAAAAGAAAGCTTTTCCCGACATTWATCATATCAACTGGGATTATTTGCCACGATGGGATATCGAATAGGGCATTTTGTAATCACTGGATGAAATACATATGAATATAAATTTTGCTGAGGTAAAAAACACAGCAGATGTACCGACCGCAAGGAATCATGGGGAAACCGTCAATGAAAGTTGCGAACACAAAGAGAAGACTGGCACTAGTGTTTTAAATGATGAATTATCACCTCTAAGATTAGCAAATCTTTAAATGCTGTAGTTACTAAGATTTCAAATATCAATGTTTCCCCATAACGTCTTGCGGAATCATCGTTTATATTCAATTTCACCTTCCAGTTAAGTCAGTATATATAACAATATGCTAATAAAGGTGTTTATATAGTATAAATTCTTCATGAATAATAATATTGACACGTACGGATACCATGGGTTTCACACATCCACAGAAATGCTTTTCGTAGTCGTTGGCTTTGTACCAACGTGTAAGAAGAATTCAATCATTGAATTAACGGCTAACTCAAGACTAGATAAAAAAATGACACATTTACGGCTGTGAAAAATAAAACGTCTTTCAGATGAACGCTGCCTTAGTTGTGTTTCAGAATAATTCCCAATTTCTCATTTTCATTCACCCATATCATATATGGTAAGCCAGCCCAGTCTCTCCCCCTGGATATGCCCTTACATAAGGAGGAGGATGAAGAAGTCTTATAGGTTAGAATTGTGGATGAATAATAATGATGACGACTGTATTTCTTACCACAACTTTTCCATTTTCATGGACTGCAAGCATCTGCAGAGGTATGGGAGGCTCTTGTAAGCTATAACCATTCATTACTGCTAAATAAGGACAAACCATTGGTTTCATTGAACATTGATTAAGGGTGTTCTGATGTGGTTACCAATACAAGTTGCTAGGGGAATTTGATAACGTTACAAAACACTGTAAAATCCGCGAAAAATTCATCGACAATAGATGGAAAGACGGGGACTTTTAGGACATTTATTGGTTATAAATGGTTATTCAATTCTACTTGTGAAAGTGATTTTTAATGAGTATTATACAAAGGCGTAAAAAAAGTCTCATCGAAACGAATAATTTTCCCGCTAAATAATTATTAAGTACGTTGACCCTAGCAATCAGGTCTCATAGCAACAACAACCACTGTGGCCTTCAAAACTCAKATGTGAGCAACATGATATTGCCTGCGGAGTGGGCGCGGTGTATAACACAACTTTATCCTTTCATACGGCAAGACGATGATAAATGATTTTACACCCATCAATAACTACAATCCCGGACAAAACTAGTTGAGACACTGTCATTTTTTCACTGCAAAATATCCCATTTCTCATATCTATCACTGATTTTGATCCTCCCCTCCCCCCACCAAGCAATGTTATGTGTGTGACGTAATGCTAGAAGGGTGTGCATGATTGTTCAGTCCTTTCAACATTGATTTAAGGGGGAAAGGGGGAGAGGTGCACAGAAATAGGCAAATAGATCATCGAAATTCAACCTATTTTAAGAAACGTCTCAACAGTTTTGTCCGGGATTGTATTTTGACAGCATTTGCTTTTTACGCGAAACATGAATGATAGCATATAAAGTGCTTATAAAATACTGAGTAGGTGTCATGTGAACGCACTTTGACATGTGACTTTCGTGCTGGTGAAAAAAACTGCAAAGAAGTTACAATCAAATAAACAATATCGCGCTACTTTGTGTGCAATCTCAAAATAGGCCAATTCCATATGCTAATTATAGTGTGTCGCAATCTCGACATTTTAAACGGCTATGGAGCGATTTAAATACGCCTTTTCAGTTGCACTTAGGCCTCGATAGCAAGTTAATTATTCTCTTGAATTTGACAAATGAAACTATTCATATCAATGTTTGCATTGCTCACATTCCGAAAAAATTCAAAAGAATATTTAACACGCTGTCGAGGCCTAAGAGTAAGAGCAACTGAAAAGGTGTATTGAATCGGATTTACAGTAAATTTACAGACTTAATAAATTAATCACAAAATGACTATTATAAATTGATGAGTGTGTGCGATTTAAAAAATATTTGCACGCATTTTCACCAATAAGATTGTATAGATAGATATAGGCTTTATATGACTTTTGCGCGTATGCTCATTATTCTCTAATGTGACTGATTTCACCAGGAATACTGCAAAGACACAAATTGGAAAATGCCATGACTATTGAGAGAAATTCCTGGGGTGTAACAAGAGAAAGTGTTCTCGACGACTACTTCACCATTCAACACCTCATCAAAGAACTAGCGTCAACAGTCAGGTTGGTTCACTGTCTTACTTCTCACAAGTGCTGATGGGCCATAACTTCCCTTGATGCAATGCGCGCTCTCCAGACCTTCCATCAATCTGCGTCCATGGCTAAAATAACTTATATTTTTCGATAATCTCTCTCTTTTATGATTTTAATACGGGCGGTAATCTACTGATGAACATCGGTGCAAGTTCCGATGGTACCATACCCGTGATCTTTCAGGACCGTCTAAAACAGATGGGGGACTGGTTAAGAGTTAATGATTAGGACATGTACGGAAGCAAACCTTGGAAAGCTCAGAAAGACACGAAAAGCCCTAAAACGTGGTAAGATCGGAATTATTCATCRCAATGTGTAACGAAGCCATTTAGTCCAGCAAAGAATGACGAAGTTCTCGCACTTAGTTGTCGCTACAACATTCTTCCTAAGCAGTTTTTACTTTTTCTAAGCAAAATTAGAAGAAGTTGTACCGTTTCGATATAGAAAACATAAACGGCTTTAAGGGAGAAATTTTAGGTTTTAAAAAGTGCGAGGACTACAACTCCCATCATGCTTTGTTCAACAAGATGGCGTCACATCAGTAATAATTAACTATTGTATTAGCACTGGTCAAATCTAAAGGGAATTTGCTTAATATACGTACAATCTACTTGAACTTGTTGAACGAAGATAACTTTATTATTTAAACCCGACCTAGCTTCCTATTTTACTGGTACACTCGGAAAACATCGTATATGCTATATTACTGGAATGGCCAAAATCTGGCAAACCTTTCCTGGACGCATCCAAACTTTTCAAGGGAAGGTACGTTTATTACTGAGGGAGGGAGGGCTGGAGTTTTCAGAGTAATTTTTCCATAAGAATGTGTGACCCTCCCCAGTACTTCTAAAACTAAACTTTTGACCCTCCCCTCAAAAGTTCCAAAAATACTGATGACCCCCCTCCCCCCG